AGGACAGGCTTGTTTTCTGTTGGTCTGTGCTCTAGTGCTTCTTCTAATAGAGCTTTGAATGTTATTTTGAGTTAATAATGGTAATAATGTGGTTGGCAGACACAGGAAAGCAGTCATGGGGCTGAGGATGCTTCTGATGATGTGTTGTACCCTGCAGTTGGCTTTGTTGCTCTCTGGCTCTGATCTGCCCATAAGGCTCCTCCTCATGGACATAACTTGGGGTCAGTCAGGTCTATTCACATGCTTGGTGTCAAATACATTGATGATTTGGAGACCTTTGATCCCATTGTGAGAAGAAGAGGAGGCTCACCCAGGCAAGGCTGCCCCCAGGGGACCACAGCTGGGTGGAAGAGGGGGCTGTTGGCATATCCCAAACGATGTCAGTCGTGGCGAAAGCAGGGGTGATCTATGTGCAGCCTGTGGCATCAATCTTTGCAGTTCTTTAGCTTTCAGTCAAGGTAGCAGCAGCAAACAAAGAATAAACCCCATTTCAATGAACTATTGCTACATAGCAGAAAGCTCTGTTTTTAACCATGGCAGAGATCCTAATCTCTTTGGATAAAGCCCCAAAGCTCCAAGCAAATGCGGAGTGTGGGGAGGAGGTAATGCATTACCTCCCTGGGGAAAAACAGGCTGAAACTCAGGCAAGGCATCGAGTTCCTCGTAAGTTATGAGGCTGTTCGTCTGGGGATGGCAATAAGTTGTATTATGGCCTTGCTTGCTCTGCCTTTTTTTTTCCACAACGCCATCTTTCATTTTAATAGTGGTTTTTCAGCCAGCTTTGTTAGGGCTGCTGCTAATTGGGCTGGATTCATGTGTCCCACCAGGGCACAGGACAAGCCTGGCACTGCTTAAAAGAGAAGGGCGAATTTTACTGCCTGGTGCTTTGAGTAGACAGAGCCCAGGCTTTGGGGAGCAGGAGGAAGGGGCATGGCAGCAGTGAGAGAGGGATTTAGGAACAATTTTAACTCTCTGGCTGCCATGGAAGCTGAGAGATACTCTCCCTGTGACAGTGATGGGACTGAGAGTGGCTCCACATGAGTCAAACAGCTCCTGGGGGGATGAAAGCCCCTTTTGTGATTGACCTTTCTGACCTGGAAAGATGTGGGGCCACCTCTTTTGCTGAGAAATTAGGTTTAAAAGTTCTTCAGTGCTGGAAATGTCAGATTCAGACCTTCACAAAGTGGTTTTCGTGGGTCATCACGGGGAATCAGAACTTGTGGCTGGGACAATTTCATCAGAGCTTTGAAAGCAGCAAGGTTTGCACCCTCAATACCTAGAGCTAGATTTTACTGAGAATCTGTAACATGTGCTGAGTGGGGAGCTGGCCATATCCTTTACATTACACTGCCTCTGTAAGTGCAAGGACCAGGACAGCTGTGATGCATGTGAGATTTGGCTGCAAAGCAACACTTCTGGCTTGCAGAACACACTTCTACCTGCTGCAGGGCTCACCAGGTCTCTCAGGACAGGGGCCCTGGTAAGTTAGAGAGCTCCAGAGTTTCTGCTTGTGTTCACAGAGCCCCTGGGAGACTTTCACAAAAAACCTCTCCCAACCCGTCCTACAGCACTTTTCACCTCTGTCCCCACTGGGGCCCTGGGTGCCGCAGTCCTGCCAAGCTGGCTGTTCCAAGGTGACCAGGGTTTCTAGCTCTCACTCACACCACTAAGATGGACTAACCACACTTGGGATGTCTCCAAAAACACAGCTCTGAAAAGTGGGGCTGTTTAGTCAGAAGTGCCCTCATCTCATTGTCGCTTCAGTCAGTGTGGCAATATGTGCCCCCATCTCACTGTGGGTCACCTCTTCGCCCAGAGGACAGAAGAGCACAGTGCAGGATATCTAGGATCCTTCTCCACACCCACACAGATGAACCAGGTGGTAAAACCAGGCCACTTCTTTGCAAAGGTCTTTTCCCATCAGCCACTGTTGTAGTAAGACCAGAAATGTCGGGAAACTGCCCAGAAAGGAAGCCTGCCACACCAAACAGTTCACATTTGCAGCTGAGAAACACAGCAAGGAGCTTACTAGTTGGTAAATGGACTGAATTGTAGCACTGCCTTTATTTTAAAGAGCAATTAGCACTGTGGAAGGATTTTCTCTGCCTCTTCAAAACATTTGTTAGTTAAAAGCTCAATTTATGGTTAACATTACATAATAACATATGTCACAGCTCTGCAATTGAGCTCCTCTGTGGCATCAAGAAAACTGTGCCAGAGCAGAAGTCCCGAGAGATGCAAATGGGGGGGAAATAGTGCTGTGAAATTAAATGGTACCCACCAAAATGTAGTGGGGACGTTTTCAGCAAAAGACTGAAATCCTGGGTGATGTAGTTATTTGAAGCTTTCCCCTCTTGCACACTTGAGAGGTGGGACTGTTTGATTTGAGTATAGATTTTGCAGATTCTTTTCAGTGAGGGCTGTGCCCAGGGCCAGTGAGGAGCAATGTCAGACAGTTCAGGACAGATAAACCAGGTTGGCCCATGAACCACTCTGTAAACCTGGTATTAGGGCAGGGAACATTCAGAGTTTCCATCAGGCAAGTGGAACAGCCTGGATTGTGTGGGGCAATGAATGTGCTGGCGTAGCCTGCTGCTTGGACTGGCAGTGGGCTGGAGCATGGCTTTAACTTCAACACCAAGCACTGCAGTGGCAATCTCTTACTGCCACTTAGCTAAAGCAGAGATGATGAAAATGTCACCACCATGACCACCCTAGTGATGGCTCCAGGCCATGATCTCAACTGTTGCCATGTTCACTGCTGACAGTGAGTGGGAAATACTCTTTCTTGGGGAAGAAAGTTTTCTATCAGTAGTTGCAGAGTGCTGGGTCCCTGCTCTTTGTTGAGCCAGGCTGTCACAAGAGAGATCAGAAATCATTTATTTTTAACGCTATGAATATGTAGAAACTTGTCTGAGCTTCTGCACACAGTGGCCATGAATTTAGAAACGACATCAGGAATCATGGCATTCGGCATCCTGTGAATCGGGTCAGAGCTATAAATTTCTCTTATTGGTGCACAAGCCATTTGCCATACGTGACTTTCTGAATTTGTGGTCATTTCTCTCTCTACCCCTGTGTGCTGAGTGTATGGCTGAGATTTTATATTGCACCTCTGAGACACAAAGTCCTTCTGGTGCTTTTGCCTCGCATCCTAAACAGGCTCACTCGCTCTCCTGCCTGTCCCCTTGGCTAATGGCTTCTGGCCACAGCCTGGCCCTTAAATCACAGGCTGCACCCAGATAGAAATAAACTGTGACTCTCCCCAGACAAGGAGGATTTGATTAGAGTGGTGAGGGATGTGACCCTGAACACAGGCGCTCAGCCTTGTGAGAACAGCTGCTCCTACACTGGGCCCAAGATGGGTCCTCTGGCACAGGCACTGAAGGCAAGTCCTACAGAGACCTCAGACATGTTCACTGAGCCTCTCCAAGGACAGTCATTTGGAATACAAAGGGAGGAATGTTCAGCGTGGATATCGTGGGGGTATGTTAAGATGATCTGTGTGTTGGGAGGAAAGCTTAAGCTAAGGAAGCTCACACTGTGGGGACTGGAAGATGGTGCTGCCATCCACCTCCTCCACTTTACTGCCTATGTTTTCCTCCCCCACCTCTATCTGTTCTAGACATAAAAGCTTTTTTTATTGCAAGATTATTTTTGCTCAGTGAATTAAAATGAAGCATTTACAACCTCTCCTCCCCAGTGCAAGTGCTCCTGGCAGCACTGCTCTCCACCTGGTCCTGGCCCCTCTGGTCAGCTTAGGAAAGCCAAGCCCAGCAGCAGGACAAGATCAGGCTATTGCCAAACCCAGCTCTGCTGAGGAACAGGTTCCCCTGTTCCAGAGATCTGCCCCCTATGAGCCTCGTGAATCACCAAAGGCAGCAGATGCAACTAAGACGTTTCCTAACTAATTTTTAATCCTTTTGGCACAGCAGTACCAACACAAAAACATGAACTGTATCAAGGCTGTTTATTAAATTCTGGTCTGGCTGCAGTTGTGCAACCCCACTGAAACACTCTGGTGCAGTAACTTGAAATAAGAACAGTGGATTTCCTCACATGTCATTGAGAACTGTATCTTGCCAGCAGGTTGCTCTTGAGGCTGATACATAGGTGTTATCACGGTCTGAGCCCAATTATGAGGGTAGAGCAGGACATGGGAAATTGCACATTTCTGGATCAAAGAGCCGATATGGTCCCTTCTACTAACTCAGAGCCACTTTTCAAAGCCAAGGTCTCCAGCAAACTACATGTACAACTCTATTTCCATCAGGATAAGTTTTCTGTGCTTGTTAAAAGCTGAACCTTTGAGCCTTTTCAACTTAATCCTCTTCCAAGAGTATTAGGTTTTTGGGGAGATTTTTGAAATGGCAAGGCTTCCCGAATTTCTGATCTATTGGTACATATCTAGAGCACTCACCATCATCCATCAAGGCCCTGCCAACATGCAATCTGAATAAAAGCAGAGAGGAAGCACCTTTGCCATCACGATTTTTCAACTATAAATTGCTGGAAGTTGATCTTCGTGAAAACAGTACTAGCTTCATGTATTTAGTAGGGAACAGACACTGGACAAAGTGTCTGCACCACCACCACAGGGCTGGTGGTGCAGGGCTATAAATGTGGAAACAGGTTGATAATAGAAACTGGTTTGTAAGTGCTAGCAGACATGAGCAAATAGAAGTTTTGAAAGCAAAGGCTTCACAGGAACTGTCCCTGAAGAAACCCTCTGAAACTGAGACTAAAGCAAATGCCACTCTCGGTTGCCACCTCAAGTAGAAACCAGAGGAGGTGAGAGCATCCCCGAAGATGCCACCAGCTCTCTTCCCCGTTTTTTGACAAGTGTCCATGCACAGCTTCAGTGCTAACCCACCTTCTTGCCTATATTTCAAGTTCCAAACTTTTTAATAAAAGAGTGGCCCAGCCTTCAAAAACAAATCCAAGGACTGCTATACTTTGAAGAAAGGATGGTCTTGCTCAGCAACCACTTATAATGAAAAGAAAAAAAATTACTACATTTTTATTGTTACACTAAAGAGTAGGACAGAGACAGAAAGTCATAGCTGCTTTACTTTGTTCCTTAGAGACGGGGAACAGTGCACATCTGGCTTTAAATAAATAACAACAGTAACTTCCCAATGGCCTTTTGTCTCCCAGCCTCAAGAGTTTCTGAACTAGCTGAAGGCCTCTTTCTTGTTAAGAGCTTCTGTCTCACTCCAACCTAGAGGTCTGTGACAAAACTGAGGTTATTTTGTGGAAGGGAGGAAGTAGATGCATTAGTGAGTGCATTGCCTCTTGGCTGAGGTTTAGGTTTATTTGAATTTATTATTTCTGATGCGATCAACCGATCACTTACTGACCATTTTACTTTAAATGTGGTCAAGGACTGCAGTCTACAGGCAGTCAGTCTATTTGCTCCCACTCTTGGTCCCCCTCTGCTATGTAGCAATGTCCCAGCGCTCCCTCCTTTTGTCTGTCTTCAAATCACATGTTTTCCACAGCTCAGAGCTGCAGAACACTGTAAAGATCCCCTCAGCACAGCATGGTGGGAGTGTAACTGTGTACGCTCTGTTTTGCTCATAACACTGAGCAGTTCTCTGACTAAACACACCTTTCTCTTCCCAGCCATCACTAACCAGTTATTCTTCTTTCAGCATAACTTCAACCTGCCATTTAGCCATTAACTGCGTCTATCTGTACCTAAGAATTATTTGAAACGAAACATTCAATTATTACAGAGCTTTAACACCAGAACGAGGCTGCTGTTTGATTTCTTTGTTTCAGAAATGATAAAACACTCCAGCGTTAAACCCCTGTTCTCTCCAACAGCAGCCGAGCCACTAAATTGATGACATGCGGATTAACCAAACAGTCCAGCAAATCATTGGTAGAAAGGGCTGTTTGTGAGGTGCAAGGACTGCTGTCTGAATCCATTTGATCTGCAGGCATCTCACAGTCATTACTCATTACCAAGTCCTTCCTCCTGCGGTGTAATTTTCGAATATGTTCTCCTTCATTTTCACAGGGAAGATCTCTACCGTCGCTTTCAACTGCAACTGCACCCATCGAGCCCGTTTCTTGAGACTGTGGTAAAACTTGAATCAGATGAGGCCCAAAAGGTATTTTCTGCAGCTCTTCTGCTTTAGATGTTGAAAAGTCAAATCCATGGGTTAGTAATCTGCAGCCATCTGGCTCACAGCCAACTTCCCTCCTCTTCCTCTTGCATGAGGCACCTGTCCTCTGCCCTGCACCAGTGCTGCTGGAATGTACCCGCTCTGACACACTTGTCTTCTGACACTTGAAATACGCAGACACAGCTTGATTCAGGTACTGAAGATTCATTTCATGGGATGTTGCCTCAACCTAAGAAAACACCCAGGACACACTCAGTTAAAAGGAGCCATGTTTCAATTCAGCGCTGCGTGATTATTTTCCATGAATTACTTTTGCTACATGAAGGGATGGAATTTAAAATTCTTTTTCTCAGGCAGCAGAAGGACTCAGGGGAGCTAAGCAAAATGTCAGTAGTTCTTTGTTATTGCTCCTATAATGGGAGCAATAGAGGGCTTACCTCTGTAGGATTTAGCCAGAGATCTCCATCACTGGGATTTTCTGCTGATTTTATGGCACATACCAGCATTCGAGTTATTGCCTCTTCTACACGGGCTTCATGATCTGCATCCTGCCTCGAGAAAACAGAAAGTTTTAGGAGATAGATTAGCTCTTGGGTCTGTGCAGAAAGCTGAAAGGACTTGGGAAGAACATGAATGGCCTTAGTTTGAAAGCCACACTCATGTATGCAAAGTCAATGAAAGGTTTCAGACTTTTGACGCTCCTACTCCTGTGTACAGCCCCGACACAGGTCACAGCACAGGCTCATCTGAACTATGATTTGCAAAAAACAGATTCTAGTATGTGTATATAATCTTTTCCCTCATTAGTGTTCTGTTAATTCAATCTGGTGTTTGAAATTACAATACAGTGTTAGCATTTAATTAATGCATGCATTTATAGAGCTCTTTAGGACTAGAATGGCCATGGAAGTACATGGCACATTTTTTATATCCACATATTATGTCTAATTTAAGTACTTAAAACACACAGGATGTTCCAGGAAGGCAGCAGCTATCTACGGGCTACAGAGGCAAAAAAGTAAGTCTTAAGAAAATGTAGGAAATATTTTATCATGTAACAGCAGCTGACATACTTCTGCACTTCTGAACATCAGCAAAAGGAAAAACATTTTTCCTCTGAAAGCTCTCCTGCAAAACTAAAAACTAAGTTAATAGCAAGCTGTTTCTTTCAGGCCTTCACTTCCTCTATCATCCCCCTTAAGGCAGCTGGATACTAGCTGATTTAGGATAGCAGAACAAAACTTTATAAGATCTTTTTAAGCTTTCTTTCCCGTTTGAGTTTCTTGTATGTGGAAGGGTAGGGTGTGTGGAAGGAAATGGCAGACCCTGCAAACAAGATGGCTGGTTTGGTTAATTCAATGACAAGTGCCTAGACATGGATACATAAATTTGCTTTAATCGAGGTGCTTAGACATAGGAGTTTTGGACCTGGTCAATCCACAGCCCTGATCAGTCTGTGGTTTCAAGCACATGCATCTTGCCAGTATGAGTGCTGAAGGCAGTAATTCAGCCTGGAACCCTGAGCTGATTTTGGGATAAAAGCAGGGGAAAGTGTTGTTGGCATTTTGTGGCTTTAGATGTTTGGCTTATTAATGACCTTACATAACAAGCCCCCAAAACACAGACTTTGGTATCCACATGTGGAAATTATTTAAGGTGTTGCATTCTTGGTATTCATCCTGGCCTGCTGAATAACAGGGCTGTACTGACTGCATGACAGTATGTTAGGAAGCAAGGAATACTTTGAGTAGCTCACATCCAGCTGAAAACAAATTAAATTTCTACTCTAAACTCTTGCCAGTATAATTAATGGTTTCCCTGGGACTATAATTGTTGGCGTGATTCACATCTGTCAATATGAAAGCAGCTGGTAACAGCTGCGAGCAAGAACTGCTTACTTTGGTAATGGAAATGTTCTCAGTACTGTCTTTTAGCATCCATGTCACACTTTACTTTTACAGATGGACTGCCCAACACCTAACAAACAGTGCTGCCATCATCAGCTGTACAGATAATTTCTGTAAGAAACTTTCACCTGGGCTGAAATAGCTACATTTGTTTATGGCAGCTTCTGATATTTGTGGAGGGGAAGCTTGTGTGTTGTTCGTTAGTAAGATCTAGCAAACACTCCTTTGTTTCTGATGCCACCCACACAACTACCCACTCTTGCTGTCACCAGACAGGATCTTGGTGACTTCTGCAAGATCTTTATGACCAGAAAGGAGTTTAGCTCCACTGATTTTTATTTTTTTTTTTTTCCTTGCAACACACAAGAACAGCTAGAAATGCTACAACTAAGGCATCATCCCAGCACCTGGGAACTCCCAGCCGAGCACAGCTGATCCATGCTGACCTGCTTCTCCAGCAGGGACAATTTATGAGGCACAGCTCAGGGTACAAGAGTGTGTATTGACATCAGGGTCTTTCCAAGCCCAGGGCACACAGCCAGTTCCTCTGAATTACCTCAAGGGCTGCTCAAATTTAAGGCAGGCTTAAATGGCTGCTCTACAATATACAGTTAGTGCTTTCTCTGGCACTGGACACAACCTGACTGTACTTAGGGCTACGAAAGACCTCATACAAAAGTATGGGCTGTGGGCCTGCTGTCCTTGCTAAATACATAGTTTCATCTGGAAAATTTCTCCATGAGAGTAACACCCAAGTGAGTTCCTCTGCTCTGCCAATGCTTGGTTTGATGCTTGTATGAGAAATGTATCGTGTGGTCTTTGAACAGCAGCTGAATGTATGTGTTCCTTTTCCCTGCAGATTCCCAGTCTAATATAATTTTTTACAGTAGAAAAAAAAGGCAATGAGTATTTTAGTGAGATAGCTTTCTCAGGCCATTTCAAAAGATTTTTTTTTTTTTGTAATATTAAGCCAGGATTAATAATAAAGTAATTTGAATCAGAAAACCTTCTGGAGCATTGAGATGATCTAGTGGAAGATGTCCCTGCTCATTGCAGGGGGGCTGGACTAGATGACCTTTAAAGGTCCCTTCCAACCCAAACAATTCTACAATTCTATGATATCCCTGGAACCATCACATACATACTGGTTAAGATAAGCAAGAAAAATCAGAGCCTGGGGAAAAGAAAATTAATTAAATACTTGAGGAAATCCAACTCGAGGCAATTCAAAACTATCACAGAGAAATGAAAATTCCAAAATCCTCTTCCACCCCCTTCCTATCACATTAATTTGATTTAAATTCTAATTTAGCTTTGCATGTAAGCATGTGCCTGAGGTGAAGTTGCTGTTGAAATATGATTTCTGCTGAACTGTGTCTTCAGATCTGGAACCCTGAAAGGTTCTTCAGGACAAAAACATATCCATAAGGGTTCTTCCCTCCACAGCCTCTGAACACAACACACCCAATAGGGCTGAACTTGGCAGGCAAGGGACAGAAGGCCATGCACACATGGAAGTGCTACATCACCATGACATAAAAAGGAAAATACCAGTTCAATCCAAGAGTTTATGCTGACAGTGATAGGATCAATGGATTCCACATAGTGCCACCAGTGCCTTGGAACGAGCAGGACCTGGAATTGGAGACATTACATTAGGGTACTATGGGAAGGCTGAAGAAAGATAAGGTGTTTTAATTATAGGTCATGTGGGATGCAGAGACAGAATGAGGCAAGGAGATAGGGGTGGGAAGTCATATTTATTTATTTCTTCTAAAGCGCCTTTTCGCAGGACTTAAATGCCCACTCTGTCCTCCCACTGTACCAATACTATGGTGTAAGAAATGGACGTGATCCAGAGCTGCCTTTCATCCAAACTCCTTCCCACGTGAGCAGGACTGTAACCTTGTAATTGCTGTAGGTAAGCAAAGTCCAGCCCTACAAAGAGGGTGCAGCTGGAGTAGCAGTAGATCAGGACTTCAGAGAAAGTCTCAGCCAAGCACGAATTCTTTTGTAGACTCTCCAACTGAGCAGACTTTCCAGTTCCTTTAGAAGGACTGCCAGTTGGTTTCCCCAAAAAGCAGGTATCCTAATGCTCGTCTGGGTGACTAGCAATATGTAGCTTTAATTCTGGTAAATAATCACCAGTATTACATTTGTCACTTTTAGTAGATCGGCTTTTAAAAGAAAGTGCCATGATTTCTGGGACAATCTAGTTTAGATCAGAGCTTTATAACTACATCAGGATGATAGCTGTGACATAAAATTGATTCTAACCCATGGTTTCTAAGGTACGAGCCATTGATGTTGTTTTGATGATAGAGGACAAGCTTTAAAGATTACTGAACATGAGATTAACATGGCACTATCAAGAAAAGCATAAAAGATATTTTTTGACAAGGAATAAAAATGGTCAGAGACAGACAAAAATATACACTTCAGAATGGGGAAAGCGAAGCAATGATCTGTATCTGAATTGCAGACAATTTTTTTTCTTGGTAGACACAAATTACTTAGAAGCATGTTCTGCTACCCAGATAGCCCTGTGCTTCATTATATCAAAACACGGCTAATGAGAAAATGTCTGTATAGGAAACAATGATTGTGACTCTAGTCCTGCACTTACAGGACACTCAGAACAGAGCCATTTTTGGACCAGATGACAAAATGTTCTCCACAGGCTTCAATTTAAGTCAAACAAAAAAGCAGTGGCTCTCTAAAGGTCGAAAACATTTGAAAATTGTACTTTAATCCAGTACAGCATACAAAACAGAGAAGGAAGTCGGTCAGTGGAGGGTCATTATTTCAAAAATATTACTAATTTGTTATTCCTGCCACCTGTATGAAACCTTGACTGCAGCCAAAACATGTTTTCTACATTGAACAGGTTTCAGAGTTGTGCTTTTATCACAGAAACATCCACTCTAAACGAAAAGTGCAGCTGCATTAGCAGCAGTGGGTTTATCTGCTAGGAAGTGTTGCCCTACGTTTCACTGACTGCAAAATCACAAGAAACCTCCCTCAAACGCTCATCTGCTCTATAAGGGATCTTACACTGAACTCTGCTACAGAATCTGGGTGCCCTCCAAATAACTGGGTGTAATGATGAGGCCTGGAAAACTTTGTTTTACAGCAGAAGAAAGTACAGCTCCTGCAAGTGGCTGTTTGCAACAACAGGATCCGTCCTATGAGATCTGTGTAGGAAAAGTGAATTTTGCAACATGCTGGAGAAGTGGATGAAGACACTGGGGAACTGGGGTATGGCACAGAGGGACTAGCAAGGGAAAACAAGCGAGAGACAAATTAAGGGAACTGTAAGAATGTTTCAGTCAGAAAAACAAGATGGAAATTAGGTGCTGGCTCAACACGACAGGCATGCGAATCAGGTACAGAATTGCTTTGGAAAGAGAAGGTACAGCCAGGAGGAAAATACAACTCCCCCAACGTGTCCTGTGTTTTCAAACCTAAGAAGAGGAACTTGGTCTTTTAGAGACTGATCAGATTTTACTTGCCAGCAGGTTGAGGGTAATAACTGCGAAGTTGTGCCTTTCTGCAGCTGGCATTGTTTGTTGATGCAATTTATAGAAGAGCTACAGAGCTGTGACTCAAACAGGCAAAAGAGGTTCCATAAAGACACTTGCTCTCCCTCTTATTTTTGGGCAAGCTTATGCATGTTAAAATAAGGATTTATAGCAGGAAGAAAACTGAAATTATCAAAAAGCAAAAGGACTAAAACTTTAAGGAAGATGAAGAAATGGAAAAAAGTGATTAAAACCAAAAAATACATCTGGCAAGCAAGCAGAACTAACAAAAGATCAAAAACCCCAACAAAACAAACAAAAAACAGCAAAGAGAGAAGTACAGTAGGATTCTTCTACCTTTACAAACTAGTATTCTTCTATTTTTGCAAATTAGAAGCAAAAAAACCCCACAACAGAATGAAAACAAAACCCACCACCACCACTTCTATCAACCCTACAATAAAATAAAGCAGACTCCCATATGTTTACGAATATGGGACACAGATTTAGCTACATTCCAACAGGAAATGTGAAAGTAAACCACAGTTAAATAACACACACACAAATGCAGCGAACATTTTACAGGGAAAATGTAAAGTGCAACAGCAAGACAGAACTATTCCAAGCTAAGAGATAATCTTGCGCTAGCCTGCTTTCTACAGAACATATCTAACTTTGCAGGCTGGGAAGATACTGATCTAAACAGCAACCAATCAGATAATTTTAATATTTAGGCTAGTGATAGGCAAATATAGAAAATGAAGTCAAAGTAGGACAGAAATCCCAGAAAAGATAAAAAGAAATTCTGTAATGGGAGGAGAGAAACCAAGGGAATACTTGGGAGAGCAAGTGGAGCAATGCTGAAGACTTGTACAGCACAGAGAACAGACCAGGTTTGAATTCTCAGTGGACATGATTAACTCAATACAGTGCAAAGGTAGGGCAAAGGTGGAATTGCTTCAAAAAGAGAGCATATCCTGAAGTGAAATATTATACCGAGAAATTTCTGCTCATTAGAAAAAGGTATTTAGGTAAATGCACATGAAAAGGAAGCCAGTGTGATGGGAAGATAAAGATGTAGGGCCATGGGGGGACCCCAGGGAAATCCCAAAGCTGCCTGTAACCATGGCAATGAAAAATGAAATAGATACAAGCAGAGTCAATTCTGTGGAAGCACCACCCGGGGACTCTGTGCGAGTGCTGCTACCCCAGCCTATGCCCTGTCCCTGCTGGTGCCTGGCTGTCCTAGTCCTAGTAAGGTGCTCCTTACCCTGCCTCCCTCCTCCCTCCTGAGCTGGTGTCTTCCCACACACTGAAACTAAGCTCCAAGGGCCACTGATGTCAGAAGCATGAGGACAGCCCTTGGGAAAAGCACAGCGAAGAGGGAGGGAGTGGGGCTGTTACGTTCCTTGTCCGTGGCAACCCTGGCAGGAGACTGAAGCTCAGGGAAGATGGTGAGGAGTTAGGAACTTGCAGTTTTCACCTTTGGATTGCCTGGCTTCTGGGGCACTCGAGGGGTTCTCCCTAAGTGTTACAGGCTGAGTGCTGTAACCACCAATCTCAGTGTAAATTCAGCTCCTGGACTCTTCTGCTTCTTCTGTGATGGAGATAATACTTCTTGTGTCTCATGGTTGAGTTTGGCTGACTGCCTTCTCTATGGGGTGACTTGGGGCCAAAGGAAAGTTTGGGAGACTTTCATTTGTAGTCTTTCAAACGAAAATTCTTTATTCCTTCCCAAAACAGAATTATCAACCATCTACTATGCATAATGCTGTGGACAACTCTGAATCCTCCTTCACTAAAATAACCTTTTAAAAGTATTTGGTACACTTGGAGCTGGAATGTTTCACTGCCTTTTAAAAAGTTTGAGTTATTGTATTTCTTGCTACAACACTTTTTTCTTTGGTATCAATTATATTTTTCTTGGCTATTCAGACTGTACTGCTGTTCCCCACTTTAAGCCCAATCTGAAGTTCTCACTTCTTTTCTTTATAGCTGGCACACAGGGAAATCCCTTCCTGACTTCATGAATATTTCTGCTTGCTCAGTGTTGGGTTAGAAGTCAGAGGTTTATTTGTGCTGTTGGGAGCTCTGGTTGCCAGGCAGGATCCTGTGGTGTGTTAGATGCCACAGCAGGAGCACAGAAAGAGAAAACCTTGCAGCTATATGCAGGAACTGAGTGACAACTGTATTTATGGACAAAGACTGAGTTCAAGACTTTTAAGAAAGCAGATAAGCAAAAGCAGAGGAGGGGAGCTTCTGAGCAGCAGACCACAGTGAGAGACAGCAAGCAGTCACGCTGATCTTTTTCTAAAATCAGTATTTTCCATACTGTGACAATATTTTTCAAGGCTAGAAGGGAGCATCCTTCTCAGACTCAATGAGACTCTAAGACTAGTTCAATCAGGCCTTTCCTTGCACTTCTGCACTGCAGCTCCTCTGGCTTTAGGTTGCACCTGGGGCACAGGGCCAGGACACAGGAGAGCTGAGTGCTGCCTCTAAATAGCAAACAGTTTAGGGGCTCCTGTCTGGGGCAGTGTGAGAGGGAATGGTGTTGCTCATGGGAGCCCAGTGTCCAAGCTGCTTGCTCTCCATCAGGAGGGCTCCTTTTATAGCCTGTTCTGAAGAATGAGATGAATGTTCCTGCAGGAGTGTAATTGTATAAGATCACACTGTAGAGGTGCCAGGTTCTTCCCACTGATGGCACGTAGGGCACCTGTCCTGAATGGGGTTTAAGTTGAGGATGGCAGATCCTACCCTAACTCTCTTAACACTTGTCCCAGAGCATGGGGTGGAAGGCTCTAGAACAGACATGTTTTGCCCCATTTGTGGTCTTTTAGGCAGCATTTGTATATTTGTGAAAAGAATCAAGGTGTCACCAGAAACGGTGCAGAATTTACTCAACTCCCTTCTTAGCACTGAGCCTTGCAACCACCACACAGGTGACCAGGTTCAAATATTTTTAAGGAGCAACTTAAGCTTGTAACTTTGTGGATATAGTCAGGTACTGCTGCAAGCCCTTCACCTACTCAGCTGCCTATTTGAGTAAGCTTGATATCTAAACATTTTCCTAACTACAGTTGTGGTAAGACCTCTGTGGAAATGTAGATGACAGCCACAGGTCAAGTACAGGATGAAACCTTATAAAAACTAAAGTCTCAGACAACTACCAAAATTCATAACAGAGGTTCACCTCTGAAAAATACAGTGGAAGGGCACAAAAGATGCAACTGAAGTATGCATTGTGCATTGGTACAATGTTATATGAAGGAATTCTGCTTTTAGGCAGAATGGGTGTAGAAAAATGGCTTGTAGCAAACACCAACCAGAAGGTGGCATTAGACACATTAAGTTTTTGATATTCAAAGCTGCACTCACCCTACATGCAGCTGCTCTCCTGAATACCTAAGAACACCTTTGTCTTTATTTTTTCAACCCTTTATTGTTAGAACCAAAATGTTCTGTGTTACCCTCCGAGAATGAGTGGAGATTCTACATATTAGCACAAAATAAGGCAGCCCACAAATTCTGCAGTAATTGTATTACTTCTATGTGAAAACCACTGTTAAGCACATATCAAGACTTATTATTTAGGGATTCTCTCTCTTGTTAACAAAGGAGTTCTTCTAGGTCATTCCTTTTGTCTCCATCAAATAGCAGCAGTTCCCAGCCACCTGCCCCATAAGCTTCTAGATGAGATGCCAGATGAAGGCAATACCTCACTGCTCCATCATTGCTTCCACATTACTCCCCCCTCCACCCTGAAATCTAAAAAGTATTCCCTTCATGGAAATGCAGACAACTTGTATTACTGAGCTGGCTCAAGAACTTTATTCTTAGCAAGATTAATTTGTAATTGCTTTAAGCCTAATTAAAATTAAGATCATATTAAAGGTTCACTACCACACTTGATCATTGCAAAGGAGATTATAAATTGAAATAGTGTTGGGGACCAGGGATAATGCACTGCTGAATGGATGTGGCATTTTTATCAAAAGCAAAAATTTTTTCTTTAAGCTTTAAATTATTGAATGATGCAACCTTATGAAGTGCTGAATGCAAAACTACTCATTTGTTTTAGGAGTATGAGTAGGAGCTAATGTAGAGCAAACAATGAAGGTTGATCACAGATTCCTCATTTGCATCTGTACCAATTGCAGAGCTTACACTTCCCAGTTGATAGGTATCATCCTCTTGTTGGAAACTACTATCCTGCTTCAGCCTGCCATCTCACCAGTTTATGGGAGATGCCTCCTCAGTCTGCCTCCTCAAAATTAACTGGATTAGCAAAAATCCATTCCTTAAATTGTTGAAGGCAGCTGGGTTTGCCAGCTAGGGACAGGGGAACACTCACACAAGTTGCTGAGCTGGCAGGTCAGAAGAGGTGACAACATCTGGTAGGAGAATGGTGAGAGGGCTCTGGAAGCGGCAGCTCCACCGTGTGAAGCGGTCGGAGCAACGAACATTGCAAAATTCCTTTGGAAAGGCCTGACAGCTTGAGATGTGCAGCAGTGCGTTACAAGGACACGCGTGGCTGAACAAATGAAAAAGGGTAATTCAGGCTTCAAATACAGACCATGTTGATTAAATAACGAAGGACACTACTTACGGCAGGAGACTAGGAATTAAGAGTCCCGAGCCCTACTCTCACACTGCTGCTGACTGCCTGCGTCACTGTAAACCAGGCACTTATAACTGAACTTTCTCAGTAAAACAGGATTAATAATATCCTCACATCCCTGTAAAGTACCATGAAACCTCTGGATGCTGTGTGCTCTAAATGCAAGTATCACTGAAGTATTTATTAAAGGAACATGAGAAGGCTATTCACTACCAAAGTATGAGCTCCTTTGCTAGCTCTACATACTCATTAATCAAATACATTTCATGCAAAATACTGGTGTCAGAGTTCAAGAAAGTTCTAAAGCAGACAGATTGGAGGTGGTTGCAAGAACTGTGATGGAATTAGGCAGCTGATTCAACTACTTCTCCAAATGTTTGCAGTTTTTGTACAAAAAAGTCTAGTAAAACAACTGTCAGCAAAGAAAACTCCTGTGCTGAGATAAATGTGTCAAGTCTGAGTGCAGAGTGAAGGAAGAGAGAAATTCCACAGTCAATTTGATAAGATTTTCTAGCCTTTAATTAGCCAGTTAAATGACTTACAGGAATATAAAGTAATGTAAAACTTGTATGTAAATGGTACCTGTCCTGGACTGAGTGTAACAACATGGGCTGTCGAGTTCCTAAACTTGGGAAAGCGTTTCAGATCAGGGTTGGCAACATTCACTTTGCTGAATACGCTGGATTCCTCATAAGGGATCCTGGTAGGATAAAGGAAACTGGTGTCACCAGGTGGGAAGAGGTGCCATCTCTTCCTGAAAATAAAGAGAAGACAAAAATGTATTCAGTGCATGTCACTTACAGCAAAGAACTAAAGGCAGTAGCAAGGTTTTCAATAAAACATAAATCTGTCTTTGCTGTGTGAATCTCCTACGCAGTGAGAACACAGGCAGTGCTTACAGGCTGTCTCCTGAAAGTGTTTTTAAAATATTCCACTTTTTAATTTTTTAACTGAAAAGATTTACAGCTTCTCACCAATTATTTCTAACAGGCAGATAACATAAAATTAAAAAAAAAAAGCTCTCCCATCTGGTTTCTCTGTCCTCCCTTTTACATGCAGCATTTACAGATGCTCAGAGAATTAAAATCTGCTCTATAAACTAGAGGAAATAGTTTTGTTAGAGACAATGTATTTTTGTTCAGTGAATGAATGGCTTTCAAAATCCACGTTTGTTTTAAAAGGAGGGCATCGTGTGTTTAGGATGGCAACAGTAAAAGGGTATAGACATGATCTTCTGTTGCCTATCATCACCTGGAGTACTTATGAGGAGGCTGTTAGTCATAAACCCTTCATTCTCAGTAAAAATCACCTTAATGCTCCCATGCCAAAGATGCCATAAATAAAACCCAGACACACCCATAGACATAAGCATCCTGAAACATCTGTATTTTTGTGTTATTAGTACCATATGATGAAAATGTGGCTTGTGTGGGCCATTGGGTTTAAGAACTTACTGATGTGACTAAATGCCCAGATGGAGCACAACAGGGTTGTTCTGTTCCTTGTCTGGGGACACTCATGTGCCAGGTTGCTCTCTATGTGACCAAAGAAGCACGTGAATGCACCACAGTGCAGAACCAAGCAGAGCTGAGGCACAAACCTTGTTCTCAAGGGTTAATGTCTCTATTTCACTTATATAGACCAGATCAAAGGAAAAAAAAAAAAGAATATGCCAGAACTGGTGGTGCCAGTTTTATGGGTACTATAAATGAAATATCTTAGTGGGTACATATGTTATTTAGAAACAGAAGTTTTATATGGCGGTACTTTAGGTGATAGAAAAAACCAGAAGGAATACACAAAGAGAGAATTTATTACATTTAAGAGGTGCCAGACAAACATGACCCATACACCAAGCAATGGAAAGGTAAAGGCAGCACTTTATAGCCCAGCTGGACAACTTGCAGCTCTCCTCTTTGTTTTGGACTCTAGCAAGAGCTTTTCTTTTTGTTCCTTTTCCTTGGTATTCACTTCTTGCTTTTTGTCTACTGCTTCTGGTTGTCAGTTCTAAGTCACAGATCTGAAAATAGGAGAAAAGCAACTAAGTGGCACAAAACCAGAAGAGACAGGAACAGAAGAGATAGGAATAGCAGGATAGCCAGAACTAGAGAGACCAGCACAGATGGAAGTGCCATGGGCCGCTGACATTTCTTGGTAATTACCAAAGCTATTGCTGGGCACAAGCACAAAACCAGTTTTTCTGAAACTCAAGCCTTGCTGCAACTTTATTTTGCCCTCCAAGCTAAATTCTCTGAAGGGGCGGAGAATGACTAGGTTAGGAGGCTCAGGGTTAATCCTGCAGGCTCATGACAAAGCAATATCATGAAGCAAAATATTAAGAAGCCCGAGGGATGCAAGGAGGAAATTCAAGATAGCAACAAAGGGCTAAGGAGTTGTCCCTGGCTTTCCTGCAAAGGCAAATCTATTTAAGTTTAGCATAAGCTTATATTCTTTTACAAAGCTTGTCTTGTTTGCGAGTCTCAAAAGGGAATCTTCCTGCTCTGAAGAAGAGCACACAATTCATAAGCTTGTGGAAGTTTGCAATGTATTTAAAGGCTTTGCTCTTGAAGAAGAAAACAACTTTGTCTTTTCAGGTCGTGCAAAGGCTTTAGACTTCTTTCCCTGAGAGGAACAAGGATTTTGTTCTACTAGAGGGGGAGGAAGTGTCTTGGGAAGGCAGACAAAACTGCTACGTGATGCTGGGACGCTGGCTGGAGTTCAACACCTGAAGGTAGAGATCAAAGAGGCTTGGCAGGTATCACGTCTGCTACATCACTGTACTTATTTAGCACACCCAGTATTTAGGTGGATCCTTAGAAAATATTTAGGCATTTAAATCTCATGGTTTGCAATGAGACTTCTGGCTCCTGAATACACTTAAGTGTCTGGACTTCAATGCACAATGCTTACTGATGTGATCTGAAGAGTACAAGACTGGCTGCAGCACTGTACAAGGCTGAGGAAGGCCTCTGGAGTGTCTCTGCTGCACATCCACCCAAGGATCTCAGGGCCATTTAAAAATGTGAAGGAAAACCCACCTGGGAGCTAAACAGAGCTACCCTTCTTAGAGATAAGATGATGATGAATTCATTTCCCTGAAGCCTTAAAGCCAGTCAACCTGTGGCACTGCCCAGCTAGAAGCCAGCACACCTGAATTCCAATCCTGCCCCTTCATCACACCACCACCACCGTGATTCTACTGTTCTATAAAATGTCAGAATAATTAATCTCATTGAAATCCCACCAGTAATTTACTCCTTCCACTCCATAGTATCAAACCTAAAAAATGTGTACAATGTTTTTGTTACCCTAGCACTACTCTAGCAATAATAGATAAAATAAAAAAAAAAAACCCTGAGGCCAATATGCAAGGAAAGGAACAACAAAAAAAACAAGAATGGGAAAAAAAGCGCAGGCAAACAGGCAGAAAGATACAGCAACAAAGTCACATGCTCTCACATGAGTTTGGAGCCTCAAATGTCCCTTTCAACTTTGCTCACAGCTGGCTGCTTCCATCCTGATGTTCCCTTTTTAAATTAATTCTAGCAGGCTATTAGAGGCTCTTGCACAGAGAATATTGTAAAAGTCTAAAGGAGTTTATTTCTATTTTGTTTCGGGGCTTTTTATTTTTACCTCTTTATCTCCTAATTCCAAATTCCTGAATTCATAACTACTAGGAATGTTTATTATTGAATTACATAACACACAGATCAGAAAATAAAACTGTGTTAGCTCTATGACCAAACCGAACTCCAATCCCCTGAAGTTCTGCCATTTCCTGTAGAAGTTATGATGCTCTTCAATCACTGAGAGATCAGAAAACCAAAATAATCAGGACCTAGAATTAATACTCAGAGTCCAAAACTAGCTTTAAGCATAGTATTACTCTCCCCTATATTTGCTGTACGTATATGGACTTGTTACCTTCCTTCTACTTGCAACACTAAGTTGCAGCCATAGGAGTCCAAATGGCAGGGGGTGTTTGCTCCTTCAGAACCAATCCAAAGCGTGCTTTCTTTTCCACTTCTTCCAGGAAAACCAAAGTCAGACCACCTTATATCCTACAGCAACAGAAAGGTTATATATGTAAGCTGTTGAACTGATTCACGTCCTACCCTCAGTTCTCAGTCTCCCATCTTCTCCTTCCACTGCTCAGTCGCTCCTTATCCACTGCAGCTGTTGATCCTTGGTGGGGTTCTGGAGCATGCATGGCCTGTGCCCCTTCCTCCAAAATTATCCTCTCTAGCAGCATTTCTTCTGCTGACTTTCTTCTTCTGACTACACAACCTCCTAGATCTCTGTCTCCAGTTCTCATCCCTCCCTTTCACATCACTCAAGTTACCCCTTTGCTTTACAGAAGGACTGTCCAAATGCTCATGGCCACATCGGGCTTGTTGTCCTTTTCAAACACTCCTTTTTAACTTTCTCCACTCTTTACCATCCACTCAAGCTCAGGATTCCTTTTAGAAAAATTCTGATACATGGCATTTAAAAAAAGAATGAAAGGAAGAAAGTAAAGAAAAATCCCTATTCCCTTTTCAAATCAATTTGATAATGCATGTGGCACATGCATTTGCTCCTATCTCAGCTTTCTCCACGTACTCTGGGAACACAGACTTTACCCCATCTCTGACCCAGTGTTATGCTGCTTTTTTAAAGTTTTCTTATTATTTAATGGACACATTTGCAACTGCAGAGACAGTGAACTTGAAACAACTTGACCATGTGGGGAGAAAGGGCAGAACAGGCACGCATATGTTACGAACACAGTCCTGGAGCCTTCCCGTCTGTTGATCCTCCCACAACCAATCCCTTGGGGATGACGAGGCACAGCGAGGTATTTTTCAGACAGTCCAAGAGTTTTGCAGAATGGTTCTGGACAGCTTGGATAAAGCTTTCCCATGTTTCTACAGCTCACCCTGCCACCTGCAGGGCCTGATCATTTGTTTATTGGAAAGCACTTGAAGTATACTGGCCAGAGATATTGGTGCCTTTTGGCTGGAGCCCCAGACTGAGCCACAGGAAACAGAAATTAAACTCCTGGCTTCCTGATGGTCTTGGGCAAATCACTTCATCTCTGAGCTTTATTTTTCCTTTCTTGAAAAGGAAGATAGTGGTATTTGTTCCATTTCAGTAGAGCACTTTGGGGTCATTCACATCACCTGACTTTAGTAACCTAACTTAAGCTTGGCTCCTGCTGTAGTCAAAGCACTCTCAATCACACTTTGGAAAAACCTCTCCCTTTTTGCCATCTATAAAGAGAAAATAGGAGTCTGGCTCGTAATTTAAGCATGTAAGCTAGCTGCTCGCAGACAGTGGATGACCATCCTTTTTCAAGATCAAGGGATGAGGTAAACTAAAGCTAGACGTTATGAGGATAACTTCACCATGACTCTGTATCAGGAAACCCTCAAAATGAGCAACAGCCTTCCCAAAAATTAGGTGTTGCTAAAGATTTTGAATTTCAGAGCTATTGATTTTAAAGATATCATTTGAAAAAAAATGCAGAAGCATGATATAAACATTTGTCAAAGACAGTAAAAGATCAAAAAGAAAAAGTTGATCCTATAGATTTCAGCAGCCATAAAATTTAAAATCCAATACAACTATTTCAGTGAAAAACTTAAGCGTTACACCATCTCTACACTTTAATCTCACACCTAAATAGTTTTTGTATTTTGTTACAATTTAAGTGGGAAGAAAGCACACATAATCAATATTAGATTTAAAAGAACTTTTTCAAAATGTTGCTGCTGTAGTAAATAGTTGAAGCGATTATGGGTAAAATAGTTTTTAACCAATGAACTGAAAAGGAACTGGTAATATTACTGAAATCTTGTCACAGTGGGTTCCTTTTCTACAATAAAAAACCACAGTAAGAAGAAATGTACTAAAAGGTGTTCCAACCATAACAGATGGCACATTACTTGTGAATTATATTTATTTCATTTGCTGCTTATAATGAAGTTAATCTGTACCCGTATGTCACTTTAAAAGGTCTCATTTCTATTTAAACTTCATACATGTATCTTGCTTCTGATTTATATCTCAAATTCTGTAATGAAATATCAACTGAACAAAAAACGTAAGATGCTAGATATTGCTCATAGATTAGAATAATGGAATCATTACCTTAGCCCACACAACTGTAAATGATAAACAGTGCAATCTAAATTTCAAACAACTTCTAAATGGCCCTATTAATCACTATAAATAACAGTGCAGTTGGCCTTCTTTTCCCCTTCAAATCACCTTACGTAAATCTAAATAAAATCTAGAAAGAAAAAAAGCAGTTATCATCAAATTCACACAAGAATGGAAGAGAATTTCTACAAAGAACTCTTTTGGCTGGTATAAATTGTGTAGCAGTGTTTCAAAAGCCATATGAGTCTGGAACTGATGGATGCATTTCACTCCCATGCCTGTGAAAATGACAGATGACACACACCATATTTGCTTGCATAACACCGTTGATTTTTTCCTTCCCAGATTCTGCTTTTAAAAAACTCCACGGCATAACCATTACGTGTATCTATTCTAAAACTGCAGTACAATCTGTTGCTTGTTATAGGTCAGGGGATCAGGTTGTGGTATGACACCTGCACAGAAATGCAATTCCTGCAGCCTTAACTTTATTCTTGAATGGGGGGAAGGGGAAGAAGGAGGTAGGAAAGTTATTTTTTCTTCCAAGTGTGTTTTTAATGACCAAATGAAGCAGCAGGCTGTTGAGGCCTTCTGAGTTGCTATTATCTTGTGCCCTAAAACACAGGAAAAAGCTGTCTGTCGAGGCAGTTTAAAAAGAGAAGACCAAGACAGGACCACAGAAAGAGGAAGTCATGCAAAGATCTGGGGAAGCCTGAAACATCCTTGGAGCTCTCGACTTAGTTCAAGAAACATGAACCAGTATCAGAGTCATGCAGCCCAAGTTTATGTGATCCTGATTGTGTTTCAGTGTGCTTAGGAAGGGCAGGAAGAAAGAAAGGTAAGATGATCTCTGTGTTCAAACCACAGAACAATGGGAGACAGTCTGAAAAAAGGCTGATCACTGATAAATACCAATTTTACTGGTATAAAAGAATAAAATACATATAAGGAGTATGGGAAATGCTTTCTGACAAAATAATTAATTTGAAGGTGCTTAACAGTTTGTACTCTCTGACATCTTAGTGATACAGTTTTTGCAGGGAATTACAGATTCCATTTCCATCTTTCAAAGTATAGAAATGAATAAGGTTTCATTTACTACTCTCTTCTTATATCTTTTGAAAATGTACACCTTTTGTATAGCTATCCTTAATTTTGCCTGCTTACAATTTGCAAGGAGAAGTAGCAGGAATGTAGATGAACCAATACACAGAAATAGCAGATAGACACAGAGAAAATAAAAGAAAATACCCCAGGTAGGTGTCCTGCATTCGGTAATTACCACAGATTACGTACTTCCATGTATTTTACTGTCTTCACAGAAAATAGAGGTATAATAATGCCGCAGACTCAGACTCCTCCTCACAAACAGTTAATCTAAATACATTAAGGAAAGGAACTGTGCTACTTGAGAAAATGAGCCACAAGCCAAAACATGGAGCAAAACCATGTTACAGCCCTGTTGCTACAAGCAACACATGTCATCAAATCCTCTCTCCTGAGTGAAGCAGTTAATTCGGGCACCAGTCATGTACCAGGTGGATCTGGGGCAGCAGCAGGGTCTCAAGTTTGCAATATGCCAGGCCTGCCAGCTGCCTTTCCTCTCTACTCCCTATTCCTACTTCATGTTCATACCTTCAGCAGAGGTGCAGAGGTGGTGTTCATTTGCTGAGATCACACACACGACTGGGTGCTCCCCAAGCCTGCTCAGTCACAAAATGATACTGGGCTAAATGGGAAGGAGAGTACTGCCAATCTGGTAGCTGGTTTTGTCACTTGGGGTGTTGCTTTTAAACTTATAAGGAGATACAGAATTGTAGATGGCTGCCACTTGGTACTAGTTCTCCACTAGCCTGACAGCCAAAAGCTTTTATTTCAAAATTTTAAAATAAATGGCCAAAGGACCAGAGAGGGAATAGCAGTAGAGGTTTCAGAAACTACACTAGACAATTTGCAATGGTTAAACTCAGAAGAGATAATATTAATGGTTTACCTGGAAGATTTCTGGCTTGTCTTCAAATATCCTGGCAATGTATTTGTAGTCAGCGTAAGCCCAGTATTTGGAGGAATCGTAACAACTGAATGGTCCAGAGAGACAAGAAGGCTGCCCACAACTCCAAGCCAAAAACTCTTCAAGTGTAGCCTCCACGTAGCTACAGCTGGTTTCAAACTGGGGAACTAGAGCAACAAAAGAAAAGCCCAATATTACATGAGCATTGAGCATAGAAGCAGTAAAAATAATACATAGTTTGTCTCTCAGCTCTGGTTAAATGCAACATGAGAGATGAAGAGGGACTAGGTGGTTTGACTATGGTCAATAAAATGGTTCTCATCACCTAACTCAAAATTAAAGTCTGAGACTATTGCTTTTTCATTAAGGTTTAAGTGAATGACTGTTACCTTGAACTTGCTGAGACAAAAGCACACTAATAGTTACTGCTGTTCTTCAGCACAGTAACTCAATAATACGCCCAAGTTCCCTAAACAACTTCGCTTCATCTCCCTTCCTAAGTAGGAGCTGCAAATGTACATGTAACTATTTGTGTACTCTTTATTTTGTCTCCATGGATTTATGCAGATGGACATGTTCATCTCACCCTTTCCCTAAAGCAATAACCAAACCAGCATGGTAATGCATAGAAAGTAAATTATGGAACCACACACGTGCTGCCAATGATCCATCTAAAATGCTGTGTGCCCTTATTTTTCATTTGGGACTGACAAAAGCATATTGCAGTGTTCTTGGCAGACACAAAAAGTATTTACCAGCAGTGTTTTGCTCCCATCATGCTTTGGTCAGGCTGACTGATACAGCCTTATAGCTCAAGGTCAGGTCACTTGGAAGTTCTACAAGATAACCCACATCACAGTATACTTTAATTGCACTTAATCAGAGATCCTCATTTCCCACAGCCACTAATCGTGCCAGCTTCAAAGAGACATCCAATGTTAAAAAAAATATTACTTTACTATAACTACTACTGGGGAAAAATTACTGCAGCCTGCATGAATGACAATGACAGAGCTGCAATATAACCTTGTGTAACTTGCACAGAACTGCACAGAAATGGGATCCTTTCACTATTGTGCAGCAGCAGCAGCTCTTCGTTCTTTACCAGTTTAATTTTGTTACCACAGCAATTCCCATAGAGTATCATACATTTGTTCTTATTCCCTTTGGGCAGGAAAACAGCTTTTATAAACCTTTATCACTATTATTTTGCTATTTTCCATTGTAGTAGCCTAGGTAGTGGTTTCCTTCCCCACACTATCAAATCATTAACTAAAAGTGTCAGATAAGCCTCGCTATTCAGCAACCCATAACCTGGGTCTGTGCAGTAGAAGGGCTCCCTACCTAAGGGTTGCATACAAGTCATATAAATTACCTGCAATAACCAAAAACCTCTATATCTGATCCCGTGTCTGTGTTGCAGTCCCTCTCCTGATACCCAGTTATTAATGCAATGCACATCTTTTACTAAGAGATGGTCTGAGGGAAAAATTAGATAAAAGACACAAGCAGTACTTGAAGGTGGCTCTATAGCTGTATTACTTTTATGAGAACAAAGAGTGCTTAGGACACTGCCTATTTTCCAAGATAACTCAGGAGCAAATGTTTTAAAGGCAAGAAACATGCTCTTTCTACCTCACAGTCTCTTTCACTCTGAGGTTCATTAAAAAAAAAAACCAACTATGAAATGCAAGACTGTCTTGTAGGATACAATCTCCTTGGGACAGGGTTCTTGCTTTGATTTATAACTTGTTCAGTATCAAGCTGTATGTGCTTATGGAAAAATAAATAATAATAAAAACCATATTTGGGCAATCTAAACAGATTGCTTAGATGAGCTTGTAGGCTGCAACAAGGGTGAAAATGTTAGCAATGAGCAACTAAAAGCAAGAACATTATTAACCAGTTTGCTAATACTTAATGACTAAAAGCTGAAGGTGTTTCGTAATTGACAAATTGCAGATTTAGCCATGCAAATCTAAAGTAGGCTGCCAGTTCTGTCTGATGTCATGGCATCTGAAGGCATAACAGTCCTCCTGTCTCCCACTTAATGCTACAGATTGAAACACAGGGAGAAAGAGAGGGAAAAAATGGTTTCTCAAGAAGGAGTTCCCCTCCTTAGTTAAGGTCTGGACCTGACAGACACCAACTTCTGTTCTTCTCAGGAAGAGCGTTTGCAATGTATACTAAGGGGGGGAAAAAACATAATAGCCTTAGAAAATACCTAAAACTCCAGTAAGAATGCAAGCGAAATATCTCCTCCATTTCTTTAAAGAAAACCAAACATCTATTCACAGCTGCTGGGGAATTACAATTATTTAAACAAATAATCCAAGCAAGAAATAGCCATTTCATACTATAACAAAGCACAGGCATACTCACAAACAAAAAAACCGGTCATCCACATCCAACTCCAACAACCACCTCAAATCTCAGCTTTATGCAACATTTAATCAGTGTACAGCATTTGTACTGTATTTTCAGCCTCCTATTCAGCTACTGAGTCTATAGCCACCTCTGCATCCCCCCTATATCAAACCTCAGGGGCCTGAATTCTTCTGCCATCCTTAGTGGTAAAACCTCTTGGGCAGATGATCAAGTTGCAGCCCTTTTCTAACCAGCTGCATAACTGACAGCATCAGCTCTATCCAGCATCAACAACAGAAATTTCCTCCAGAGATCTTGTGACTCATAAACTGATCAGCATGACAACTACTTGTTCTCTCCAGCTTCTCCACAGTAAACTCATTGTTTATTCATTTTACTCTACAACCACAGAAAATGGTCAAAATAAGAAATGGCTGCACACAGAAATCAGTTTTGTGTAAGCTTTCTTCTTACTTTGTACTCGCTGGTGTACTCCAGGTAGCCCATCAGACAGATGGGCTATAATGCTGCATTTCCTCTGTCAGAAACTAGACTTCTGCAGCTTTTGCCCACCCTTTATCCCACATAAGAAAAATAAATCTTTTAGCATGGCTGGAACTAGATGGGTAGGGATTTCCTGATTAATAGCCCCTTCATTGTTGTTGTAATGAATGCTGGTACTCTCTCTGGAGGTATCTTATCTCTGTCAATGCTTAATGCTCTGATTGTATTTTTTTCCCTCTCTTATAGACACATACTGTTTAACCTGTGTAATCAGACAGAATACTATCAAACACACAAGCTTAGGTAGGTACAAATAATTCACACAAATAATACTGCTAGCTCCCATACCTTCCATGTCTCAAATGTGCCTTCCACATCCACATGCCTTAAGAAATTAAAAACCTGCAAAAAAGGCAAATACAAAATCCACACGACTCCCACCCAGTTGCCCCATTTGCAATTCTCACTTTTTTTTATTAAGGAATATTCAGTTTGGGAATGCCATCCAGGCTGCAGATGTGGAACTAAGGAAAGATGAGAAATCACTACAGTAAGAGGTCTCAAGTAATTCTGGTTCTTCCAGATGAACCTCATAGCTCAAATAACCTCAGAAACTGTGAAGGAACCATTCCAGAGTGACACCAAAATGTACCTACATGTAGGAGAATGGCTTTTTTTTTTTCCTGTTTCCAACACAGTGACAGGAGTGGTCCCATCTAGTCTTAAGGCAATAAATCTATTGTAAACAGGGAAGGAATATTCAGAAAGAGATCAATATGATTTTATTTGTATTTTTCTGTTGTTCTTCCTAACCACATGACTGCTACTGTTTCATCTAGGAAAGTTAGCATGAAGAATGATAAGAAAGAGAGGCCCTCATTAAAAAATAGTGTTAAGCATTCAAGAGTGAGATCAACCACCTTCCAAATGACAGTGGCACATGAAATGTATTACATTATTTCAGACTTTGAGATGGCTTGGATAATGGCTTCACTAATATATCCTTACAATGCAAATTTTTCATAGCATCACAGGTCTCATTCAGCTACAATATAACCCCCGAAGGCTGTACCCATCTTCTTGAAGACAATTCTAGCTCACATTAGCATATAATGGAGATTCCTGGAGACAAATTCATTGCTGCATAGGGATTGATGCCTTTAGGAAAAAGAAGAATGCAGATAGATGCTTCAAGATATAAATACCAATTTCAATCCACACTATATCCCTAGTGACTACAAGTTATTGTTAAGTGATGCCTCTTATTTACTTAGCATCTATCCGTGACTTAGCCACACAACGCTCTATCAATCCCATCAGAAACTTTCCCAACTGGCATACCCATTTGGCTCTCAAAAAGTGCCTACTAATTAATGGAGAGTAGGACCAAAATTATTCTTTTACCTAGTAGGCCTTGTGTGTTACAACTGAGATATTAACAAGGTATCAAAGAAAATGTCATATACGTGACACCTTCCCTATCAGCAATGGGATGCCTTTCACATGTAGTGCAAGAACTGGTTGGTACCTCACTGAACCACAGAGATATTGCTATGAAGATGTGTACCAACGTATTAATTCTACACCTCAGTTATCTCAACTGTAGAAAGTAAATAAATAACATCTGTTTTCCCAGGAATGGCACAGGAATCATCAATCCATGCCCATAAAATGATTTGAAATCCTAACATGCCAGGCATTTTCCCTCTAACACTTCTGTTTCATCACCCACTTCTCTTGCAAAAATTGAACATGCAATAACATGGTCAGGATGCTGTGAAGAAAGCAAATTTCACACAGTGTTGTTAAGCAAGATAATGTGATGTAATCCTATTACTTTCACTGGAACTGCCAGACCCTCATCTGGAGTCTTTGTGCAGACTCTACATTCCAAGAAAGAGGTAGTCCAACTGAAGAAGGTTAGAAGACTATATAAAGAATAGCTAGGTGGGGTCTAAAACACCATGACTTACATAGAACATTTTTAAAAACTGGATTTTTCTGGCCTAAGGAGAAAAAAAATTCTAAAGGGAGCCAGTATGCTTTATAGGCCAAAGGCAGAAAGTGTGTGGCAAAATGTATTTTGGCATGCAGTTGGGAGGGCAAAGAATGTACAGGACACAAATAAAGCAATGCAAAACCTTTCAAGTGGCTAGCAAATTGTCACCTTGGAACACATTTCTAGTATCTTCCCTCCCTGGTATGAAACTCTGTCTGTCCATGGACACATTATGACATACTATTGTAGGACTACAGACAGAAAAAGCTGTAGTATTTAAAATCAAGTGCAAAAATTGTCTTTCTCCCATGGCATGTTCCCAGATGTCTAATGAATCTGGAGGGTTAGTGGTGAAGTTACTGTACTGGAGTCAAATGATTTTCTTAACACCTTATACTTCTACAGCATCTTTCATCACAGGACACTAAAGTACTGAAAATCACCACAGTCTTATAAAGCCTCAGGAGGAAGGTGCAAATTATCATCATTTTACAGATAAAAATCCCAAGGTAGACTAATTCTTTAACACAGTTATGTTTGTGGATATGAAAGCTCAGCTCATGTGAACAATCTAATCATGGGTAAGACTGGACCAAAAATACCACACTACAAAGGAAAACTGAGATGCTTGATTCTTTTGTGTTAGTGTTACCCACCAGACTTCCTACTAAGAATAAACACATGAGAAAGAGAAAGGAGAGTTTCACTGCTGGCCAAATTCCATGTCCTAAAAACAGCCTGCAGTGAAAAGCAACACACTAGAGAGTGAACAGTGGCAATGGAAAGGCAAACAATTGCATAACCTAAAAAAGAGAGTTGTGACATTAACGCCTGTCCACCTCATTCTCACCTAAATCCACCGTCTTCAGTCCTAGCCTAAACTGGATTGGTTTTCCATCCAACATCGCAGAAAGGTATTTCACATTCCAGTGCAGGGCTGGCCAGTCACCAACCATGTTACAGAAGACTGCAGGTTGCTGTAGAGACATCACAATTTCCTGGGCTTTCTCAGGAGTAAATGGTTTGACACCTTCACCTATGGAAAGGAAAAAAAAACCAGCTGCAGAGATGTATGATTTATGACACATGAAGTGTTACCTACCATCTCCCACAGCGCAGGAAACATTAAGAACTAACACCTCCTTTGTTTATGATTGATTTATTACATTCGTAGATTTTTTTAAAGTCAACTTTATACTGCAAACACTGAAAGAACATTCATACACTAAAGCTTAAAGCACTGTTTTAGCACACGGAATGTGAAGCAAAAAATAAAAACAGGCACATGATTAAAATTTTCACTTGTACCTTAGGCAATAAAGCACCACTGTAGCCAAACTGTTTAGAATTAGGCTAACAATAAAATAACCTTGCAAATAACGTCCAGAGTTTAGAGAACATAAATTTTATGAGTTATTCTTTCTGCATGGGATTCTTTCCAAAGTGTAGTGCATTTTCAGAGATAGCAAACCAGCTTCCTGTGCATTTGATTTAAATGGAGGAAGAGTAGCATAACCAAACCAGCAGGTATTTTTAAAGTGTTTTAAAATTTCATTGACAGAAAACTTACAAAAAGGAAATTGTGCCGATCCAAGAACTAAACTAACCCAAGATTTCCATTTACTCCTTTGCTGTTAGAGATTTATATGCCCCACTGAAACTGTCAAGCTGAGATGCTGGCAACCTTGAATAAACTCAGCACTTCCAGAACAACTTTTCTTTAGGGACATATTGAGAAGGAATATCTGTTTATTTTAAATGGAATAACATAACAGTTCCATAGAGATGAGGAGGTGGACTACAGCTTCAGATCATAAAAAAATCCATTCATTATTTTAACCTCTATTGAAGTTAACTCATCCAGAATCTGTAAAATGCCTAAGATTTAACACACCGAGTTGATACATATGGCTCCCTATGACTTCTAGCAGCTTACTTCAAATAAACAAACCAATTAAATCCAATCACTCAATTTAGGGGTCAAATTACACACGCACAATTAGTTAAATAAATACAGAACAAGAAAATTTCCTTTACTGCTGGGCGCTAATTTTGCCTGTTGCTCCTCCCCATGTGTGGGACAGGTAATGGAGAACCAGCCAGTCCCACACAGGGCAGCTCCGTGGTGCCAGCTGGGGGAAACACAAAAGAAAACCCACTGAGAACAAGGTCACTGAGGATGGTTCTACAGGATTAATTCAAATATAAGCTTAAAATAAATCTATGAATGCTGAAGTGTGAATGGCAGGAATAAGAGGAGCCCTGTGCATGCTGTGTGCTGTTATCTCTTTGGTAACTTTTGCAAGTCCCACTTCTTTCAATAGGGTTTATACTCTTGCATAGCTGTGCTTTTTAGTTTTCTAAATTAAGCTGCTATCTTCACAGAAATTCAGTGGGAGGTATCAGGGCTGGGGTTTCCTACAGTCAAGGGGGCTCTTCTCCCACAGACTTTCAGGGAAACTGAATCCCTCTCTTTTCACTCATGAAAGCTCTTTCGTGAAGCTTTAAAACTGAAGACCTCTGATATTTTATGTTCACGGAACATGAAATTTTTTAATAGTTTCTCTTTCTTAAGGGTGATGACAGGAGGTAGTTTGGATTTTGGTTTGTTTTCCACAGTTCCTCTCATATGCAGAGCAACACTTGACAGGATGGTGTTGCTGTGACACAGAGATGTCTCTGACACTTGGCCTTCAGTCTCGCGCTCCAGCAACTTGCACAACCAGGACATAAGGAGGCCTCACGGGGACCGTATGTCTCACCATACGGTCTTCCCTGCCCCCAGGAAGGAGCTCTGGGGCTTTCCAAGGAACAGGTTAGTATACCTGAGGGAGCAAGTCCAGAGAAGGCAGAGAGACCATCTGCAGACACAAGGGCACGTGCTGGTGCAGCTACCAGGAGCTGGCAGGAGGCATGGTAAGAGGTTAAAGCTCAGCATGTTTCTTTACAGTGATTCTGCTCAAGATCTAAGGCAAGACTCAGTCCAGATCTGAACACTCCCAGAGGATTTATAAAACTACCTGTCTTTCACCAGTGCAATTATAATATTGTACAGAGGTGGCTTTCACCATGTGGGAGCTGGCTGGCCTTACCTACCTTTCAGATTTCCCAACTCATAAAAATGAAATTATTCCTGCTTAGGTCATGTTTATCACTACACAGCTGTCTTTTTGATGACTCAGTTTTTTTTTGCTTTAAGGGCAGTACATTTAATTATTTTAGAGAATGTAAATCCAAATAAATGCAAGAAACTGGTGACACTTTTTTGGAGGATACTGTAAAGCTGACTTATTACAAAAGCTTCAGGTTTATCCTGTAATTTCACTCAATGATTGGGTTGTGCCACAAAAGCTGAAATTTTACTGGAACAGACAGAAAGGCTCTTTGAAGCCAACTGTTGATTCCATGTGGCTTTCTAATTGGATTTCCACATGCGTATTGTGCTTTTGCAAGGTGTGGTTTTAACCACAGTGCATACACAGTAGGAAGCTCAGAGCTCCAGCTACTGGGAGTTCAATGCCAAACAAAAAAAAAATTAGGCTAAATAGCCTCTCCTCTACTGAATGTTTGTCACGTCACCACCCTTTCTTCAGTTATAAACCTATTTCCCTATAAAATTTAGAAAGAATGAAAGAGGACAGTCTGTCTTAGTAAGATGCTAATCATTCCTATCTTCAAACAGTACTAAGATCGTTGCTAAATAAGTATCTTCTCCTGATATAGATAATCACATACAATACATAGCATATAACCCACCGTGAAGTTTGAAATGTTTTACAAAATCTAAAGACTTAAATAAATGTACATTGCGGGTTTTTGCAAAGACAAATGGGGATTCTTGCTAAATCTGTGTGAAGAATCTGTAAGCATCTTGATTCAGTTTTATGTTTTCCTTGGCGAGGACAGAGTTAGTTAAACATAATTCTTTCCCTATAATATTTGTCATGCATATCTAAGTGCCTGCTAGAGAAAAGAGACATGATAAAAGGTAAATATCATATACTACATCAAATAGGCATTACGATAATTTGAAGAACTCTGCTTATGACCAACAGAGATTTCTGATGGAACTATATGCTGTAGGAGTAAGTTAAGAAGTAATTAAAAGATGTATCTGAATACAGAAGACCTGGAAGAGATATTAGCAGAATTATAACTTAAAATTATCTTTTCCTTAGTTATTGTCATTATAGCTTCACAAAGACCTTAAAAGCTGGGCTCTTGCTTCTCAGTATTTCCTAGCCTGAGATGGAAGGTAACTGATTCCTAAGCAAAACCTGAGGTTGTAAAGCCTATATATAAGCGTGCACAGTTTGGACACAGATGCGTACAAGTAAAAATGTGTATAAATAAAATGTGTTGCAAAGAAGCAAAACATCCACTGCACATCTTGGGCTTTAAATATGAAATTCCTAGGGGAGACTGGGTAGCCAGAAAGAATTGAAATGCATATTCCCTTTCAAAAGAAAAGCTCTGTGGGAGTCTTCATTTTCTCAGTTGTACTCTGATCCACAAGAGAAAAGGAATACTTTAAATTAGTTCTTTCTATCACAAATGGTGTGGCCTCACAGCACAAAAGGAAGCAGGAATAATTTGTCTCATGTTTTGACTTTATACAAGGCATGTACAGAATCCAACCAGGAACTGAAAAAATGAACCAAGTTTTAGCTCAGGTTTTGTAACTGTGACAGCTTATATAATTGGCCAAAAACATAGGTGTTCTTCAGAAAGGGAACACATTGCAAAATAGGGATCTACCAATTAAAAAACCAAAGCTTTCAAGTCATCTTTACATGAAGTACTGTCAAACATGAAGACTCATCGAGACTCAGCATTGAGGGCAGGTAAAAGAACAGCGATGAATTGGCCAAGTACTCTCCAGCAGACTTTGTGCTCCTAAGAGAAAAAATAATTTAATGTTTCTGATTAACAGTTTTTCTGAATAACTGAGTGGGGTTTGGGAATAAAGAATTTAGCACAGCAGGCAGTCTGTCTAAAAGTGGACTTGATCAAAGTTGTTCAGAAGTTAAATGCACTGTCATTAAAAAGCTAAATGTACTGTCATTCAGTTAAAATAATTTAGCAAATTAGAAGAGTTTATTAGTGCATGGCAGTTGGCTCCTGCCAAAACACCCTGCTGCTAAAATACAAGATTTAATTGAGAGGTATTAAAATTATTTTCTAAAAGAGGGAGTATAAGGAAATCCTGGTAAATGTATTTGGTACAAGCATCACTAAATTGTTTTTCTTGCAAATCTGTAATACTTCCTTATCCTTAGTTCTTAAAAAAAAATTTTTAAAAATTTAAAATTTGGCATTTTGAATACATTAATACAAAGTAGCCAGGTAACTCAAGAAATTACTTGGTTTGGAGGTCAGACTTAATGGTTTCACACTACATTGCCTCTGCACATTAAAAAACAACTTTAAATAATCTGCATGTGATTACAACACTATGCACTATAATCAGCCTACTCTGGGCAAACAGAAATGTCTCTAAATACACACATGTAGTTATCAGGATAGGCTACACAAACACCTAGGTATTACTTCCTGACCAGTTACTGCTGTTACTATTAGTTTTGACTCTGGGAATGTTAATACTGCAAACACACACAGCCAGCAGGCAGTTAACCTAGATTTGCATAAATATTTTGGTTACTGAAGGAGAGGAAGAAGTTCATGGAGACTCTCTGGACAGACCAGTCTGCACTTGTAAAACTGGCACCTGAAGCTTAGTCTGGTAGCCTGCAGTCAACACACCCTTCCTTCCTCTCCTCACTGTGGAAGGAGGGCATCAAAAGAAAAGAAAGAGGCCAAAACAGGAATTTGGACTCACATTCCAGTCCTCCTGTGGCAGGGTTGAGCATCTTACAGTTTGTCTTACGGTAAGTCTAAGTGACTCAAGACATGAAGTAAGATAAGAGTGTGGGCTATGCCCTCAAACCTCAAACTGTCCTTCCGATAAAGCAAAGGAAATTGCTGCCAGACTCCTTAGGGCAGAGTAAGGGGTTGAGTCCAGAATACACACTGGGAGGGACTTCCTGCCCCCATTCTAAATGACAGTGTGTCATTTCAAGCACACCTTTACGAAATTTTCCCCCTAAATCCTTACAGGCTCTTCCTAGAAAGCTCTTCCTGAACCCCTGGCCAGCTTTTGCCTGTTGTCTGTACTCCTCCCATCCTGTAGCGCATGCTTAGAGAGCAGTCATGTCGGTTTTCAGCTAATGAACTGAATATTGAATGATCTCAGCTCCACTGGTCTCCTCTAGCAGAAGAAATGCTTGGAGGAAAAGACTATGGTCTTTGACCAAAACCTTCCACCAGGAAATAAAAGGGCAGACTTCCCTGTTTTTCCTTATGCTAGGCTACCACAATTCCACCTTTCTGTCTGTCTGCAGGGTGTAAATTACACCCACCCGCTGCTGAGAAAATTTAGTGGCAAAGCCATTTCTTCCCAATACCCCACTGGCACTGATTTCTGACACTTTCTGACAACATTTCTGAATAAATGGAAAACCTAATACAAAAATTAATACTAATATAACATTATGATTGAAGTTAAGGGAACTGGCATGTCAGGGAGTTAATGTCTGTGTTTCTAAGAAAAAAAAGTATTTGTTCAAACTGTAAGGTTTATTTCTATTTCTTTTTCTATTCTTTGTCAGTAATAAACACAAAAGCCCTACTCTTAAATAGATGAATGCACTGTACAAAATTCACTGTCAGAAACTGTAACCATTTGTGACTTTCTTGTTGTTCTGTCCTGCAACCTTGACTGAGGAGAACTTCAAAATGGCAACAACAAAAGAATCTAAATCTTCTAAAATACACTGTTTCCCCATAAGAAGCCACTGTAGTAAACAGTCAATAGTATTCTAAAAATATAGGGCTTTTTTTCTACAAAACATTGTAATAAACAGTCATTAATACAACTGAACTTTTGAATTTGATCCACAAAGGGGTTATGATGGTAGTATATGTGACTTTGTTAGCTATTGTACCACACAGAATACAAATTATGATTAATGACTGAGTCAATTAGAGGTGTAATTAATTGTCAGAATGAAATTATACTAGCTATTTTTGAATTACATAAATTATTGAAGTGAAAGAGAACCACCACATGAACCTCAAGAACAGTTTCTGAAATGTGCAGTAACCAACATGCACAATAAGGGTATTAGGTTCAGCAACTGCCATTATTGTAGGAACATCCAACAAAAAGCATGGCTATTATTCCATTGTTTACATAATTCCATTTCTTTCATCACGGGTAAAATAAGCAGAAGTGAGTTTAACCTTTGTTCCAAGTTGCTATTTCTTTTTATAAAGGTTCTCATGCAGCAATATGAATTTTGCCTGTGAAAAGCTGTTAACGGTGTACGTTTTGAACCCTGGGGTTCACATAAAGACTAAAATCTTGTTTTGACATAACGTCAAGGATACACTTGACCTAAAACAGCGCACAAAAATGTAAACTACCAAGCTTTTTTAATTTTTAACCTTAACATTCATTAATGTTAGGATTTTTAAAATATAAATATTACACATAAAAGAAACTGCATTTATTGAAATAGCACAGCCTTGTTACACAGCTTATCTTTCACAACTTCATAATACAACAAACTGCTGCTAGTGATGTCAACATATATTTACCATCTTCCCTTCAGAGATTTTCTTTCTTTTCTTTTTCAAATAACAGCTGCCTGAAAAGTTTCATCATCTATAAACATCAAGAGCTAAATATCAGAAAAGATCAAGGACTACAGGCCCAAGTCCCCACTCAGATCTCTATGAACTCCCGTTCTAATCAGCTGCACCTGCACTTCTGGAGAACGAAGGTGACCTTTAATTTTACAAGAACCTATGACAGTAGTGATGCTTTGAATCTTGGAAGCTTCTTGAAATATGCAAGATTTACCAAAACTCGGTATTTTTCAACCTAGTAGCATACCTGGAAAACTCCTTTCAGTAAAGGACTTTCAGTATTTTCTTTTCTTTTTAAACATTAACATCACTGCTAACCAATGTCTGATTTAATACTAGTATTAGAAGCAATAACGTCTTCTATGTCCAGTCAGCAAAAGCATATGGTACGTGGAAATTTAAGAGAACTCCCTGAACATTAGCAAAAAAATAAAACTACAAAAGGTTAAAGCTGCACTTTTATACCAAACATCTAAACTACCTCACCATCGCTCTTTTTTAAAATACTTATACCCAAAATCTCATGCTACTGTATCTACTCCCAAGAATCTCATTGTGTCTGTGATCGCAAAGCCTAGAATAATTTAAACTTAAATCATGCCCCTCTTCAGAAAAGCACAGATACAGAAATAATACATTTAGCCTCTTCTTTCTATACAGAATTACATGACGGTGTAATATTTTCAAAAAGGCAAACAACATTTTGTGAGCTTTATGTCCTCAATCCCAAACACCCACCCAGACAATCAGGTCTTCAGAAGACTCATTTGCAGAGCTCATAGCATACCTATGAGCTAAGCGTGACTGGCCAGACCAACAGAAACAAACTCTCTAATGTCTACATCGTTAATTACAGCAGAGCAGTAATTAAGTTACCCCCTTGCTGATTCCATGAATGACAACAGGAGAACAATGGCGCAGCCTGATCAGAAATGAGAAACACACTCATCAGAGACACAAGACAGACCAGTACCAGAGCACTATGACTATCTCTTCTTGCTGGCATCACAGACAATGAGAGCTGCACAGAGGCAGTCCTAGCCCAAGGAGACAGGTGGAGATTTTCACCCTGTATTTCCAATTCAAGCCTAACATCCTCATGCGACTCAGTTCATTTCCATAATTCTCAGGGTTTCAGGAAGAGATGAAACCATTAATCTTTGAAACTGAATTTCCCTAACACAGTTTTGGGAGGTTAAATACTCCATTGATGTTGTCTGCAGTCACTTGCACATGTTGGCTCTGAATAAAACGAAAGAACATGGGGGCGGTGGTCTGATGAGGTTGGAGCTCCAATATAACCTCCCTAAAACACCTCCCTAAAATACCTCAGACATGGAGCCTGAAGGCTGTATAAGTGAGGGAGGGAAGTAGTCATCAAAATGAGCTTGGATGAAAGACATCATGCAGCTTCCACTGCCCCCTCAAAGAAGGTACAATCATCACCTACATGTTCATTGTTAAGCAGGTGATGAATGGCAGAACAAGCATAAATGGAGTACAAAATGCTTTAAATATGCTCAAAGCCCAAGTCAGGTGTGACTTTTGCATATTTCTTTTGAGAACCACAGTAAAGAGCCTGCAGTGTGGTCTACAGGAAATCTGGTCTTTTATTGCCAACCACAACGGTAGAATCCACAAGAAAAAGGAGTGCATCTCCCTAAAGCACCCTGGAATGGGCTCTGTCTCACTGCAAACCTAGAATCATCTCCACTACAATGGTGACTTTGCAATGGGGATACGCACAGCCTGCAGTCAAAAGGTATAAAGGAATTCCCCACTGGAAAACACTGGTGTTTGAATTTAATAATAAAACTGTTCAGCTTTCATAAGCTGATGTTGCGTCCATATTTTCTTTTCCTGTTGATACTACAAAAAAGGAAAAGGAAGCACCGTAAAACCGTCTTTCTCCTGAAGTACAAGTAAATCGTTGTATGACATTAGAGCCAGAGTCTACCTAATTCTCAATAAAAAAGAATGGCAAGAAAAGATGCTGAAAGTTACTGAATACACAGACTGGAAGGTGCCCAAACCAAGCCCAAGACAGAGCAGATTTTGAACAACCTGTTCCTGAGTAACTAGAAGGGATGTCAAAACTTGAGGGAAGAATGGGATTTACTCACACCTCACAGGCTCACCTTCAGAGGTGTTGTTCAAGACAGGGTGTAAAGAATACACTCATTAACAGCTCCCTACTACACTAGTGCTGCTTATGGCAGCTCTGAAACTGCACTGTCACAGCTCCAGCAGAAATCTAGAAATTGAGGGAAATCCCTGGAAAATGGGCCTTTTTTTAGATGCTGGAAGGAATATTCAGAATTGACTAGATGCCACTTTTGAATCTTTGAATTAATTTCAGGTTCTGCCCATTTTGTGCCAAAATGCTTCCAGACTTCATAGGATATAGTCACTTGTTGCTTATCAAAGTGCAAGGTATGAGTTGACAAAAAAATGACAAGATTGTACACATGATATTATTTTTTGGGAGAGTAGCATGAGAATCCAGGGGACGCTGAAGTTCATCAGGTATCTCTGAAAAGTCACATGGAGAACAAATCTGTAAAAAGCACGGGAACTGGAGAGAGCAAACGTGACTTCCTAAGGCACTAGGAACTGGAGGTTGGTTGCTCCATAGGGAGGATACTCTCCTGGACTGCCCAGCTCAGCCATGACACGATAGATATGTTTTAGCTGAACTGGACTCTCCATATGCCTCAAGTTTATAACAAACCTGTCAAAGCCTCAGTTTATATTCTTAAGGCTTAAAGCTTAAATCGGCACACTATAGGTGCCAACTCTGAAGTGGATCAGCCAGGCCTGCCTCAGGGATGGGATGAGCATTTGGCAGCAACAACAGCTTCAGCCACATAATTTTTGTCTGTCACCACTAGTCTATCAGAGCTCCAGGCCACCAACTCCTCCTAAAATGAATTCCATAATGTTTTAGGCCAGACACAGGCAGACAGGTATGAATATGGACACGCAGCCACCTTGAGAAGTTTTAGATTAGAAATGGAGGCACCTACCAATTGATATGCTATTGGGTTGGGCAGTTGGTACCTGGATGGGCATCTGCTTCACAGTTTTGGATCTAGGTGCCATTAAGTCCATGCAAGTCCTGCTACAGACATGAAAGTTATGGGTCAGGACACAAAATAACCTTTCTGCTAGCCTGACTATATGTGCATTTCATCTGATAATATTCAAATTTCTTTAGCTACATTATAATGAGGTTAAAGCAAGAAAAATATCCCCACCCCAAATATTACAAATGTCAGTAATGAGAACAGTAAAAATGTCACCACACGGAGAAAAGAGTGAAATTAGCATATTTAGAGAATTATTATACCCATGAGTAAAATAATGCAATCAGCTAGCTGCAAGATAAAGCTAATTTGGTTTCCAACAGTTTATCAACAATGCACTGCTCCTTTGCATTAACAAATTTAAACGGTACCATATCCTGCAAACAAGAATAATTCACACAGAATATTACACTGTGTTAATTAAATAGCTGGAATAGAAAAGGTCAGGCCACGACTGAAAGATGCGCATATGGGTTGTGAAGCTAGGAAAAGATGGAGCGATTTCAAATCAAGCAATCAAAATAAATTATTTCAACTATGATTAAGTCAATAATAAATATACTTAGATTTTTTGAGCCTATTTTGACAGTCCCTTTAGTTTGCTGCTGTTTTTCAGAATTTTTTCTTTCTTGCTGACCCATGCAAGAGTCGAAATATCTTTAAACTCATCATAAGATAAGCCATCAAAGAATTATCCTGCTTATATTCAAGTTTTCCTTTGACTGTGCAGATAGTGAGAGGCACGAGCAATTTTTGCAGTTAAAAGGACACTGCAAAGCCCCATTTGCTTTATTTTCGGATGGGTTTCCTGCCACTAGAAACATGAAACCTCCACGACTACTACAGATAATTGAAAAATGTTCAAGGAGAGAAATATTTTTTCACTTTAGTTTACTTCTGCAAATAACAGCACTTTGGCTGAATGCCACCAAATCACTTAAATTATAGTAGTAACATAGCCCTTCTTAATTGAAAGAACACTTTGGCATAGGCTAAACTATGCTGAGGTGGTAATGTATGAAAAAGACTTAGTAAAACAGGGAATTAATCTTAGTTGGAGCCCCAAAGCACTACCAGAATGTCCATCAGCCATGATGAAATCTGAATCTCATTCTGCATTTTTACTGTACTTTTGTTACTACAGCTGTAAACAGCAAGCTAAAATTTTAGTTTATTTTCTGCATGTCCCCTCATTATCTAAATGTGCATGAATCTTATTTTTCCTGGGGAATTTCCTGAACTTTTCTAAACAAAATATAATTTGCTTTCTCATCATAGTTCTGCTGATTTCAGTCAGCACATACTACTTCCTTTTTGCGCCTTCAGTCTAGCAAACAGAGCTGTGTGAACTAAACAAAATGCAATGTCATATGTTTCATGAAGAATTTCACGTGAGTCTGTGGGTTTGGCTGCAAAACTGCGGGACGAGCACCACGTGAAATTCAGCTTTGTGCTGCCCAGCACATCGAGAGTACTGACACTGGATCTAAAACCAGCCTGTGGGGACCTCACTGTTCAGCCCTCCCCAGTTACACACACAGGCATTTATCAAGCCAACTTCCAGACTTTGTGACAGAATGCCTAAGCAAGCCACACTGAAATATCCATTTTTTTAAGGGAAGTTGAAGCACTGTGCAGCATACGAGCCATTAATTTTATGACAAATGCAGATGGTTGATATACAGATAAATTCTCACACAACCTAACTGAAATAATATATACTTCACTCTATTTAAATGATAATAGTTTCTAATAAGCACAATGTCCCCCACATGATGGCATATTCACCTGAATTATTTCACAATGGATTTCAGTGCAGGTTTTACCTGAACCCTACTGTTTATTCCCCCCAGTTCGGCCCATGGCTGATTTGTAACCACCTCAACTCAACACGCTTTCCTTCTCCCTTTAAAAGCACAGACTCCCCGCTGCGGTACTTCCCTGCACGCAGGTACCCACGCAGGTTCGGCTGAGCGGGACGCGTGGGAGGAGGAGCGGCAGGGGAGGCACAGCGGGCCCCGCTACAGCCGCCGCCGCCGCCTCCTGCTCCCCGTGCCCGCTGGGCCGGACCCGGAGCCTCCCCGCGCTGGGGCCCGGGCCGGGGCGGGGGCCCGGGGGGCACCTACCCGGGGCAGGGGGACGGCCGCTTTCCGCCCCGGCCATGCTCCTGCGGCTCTTACTGAAGGAGCTCCGCTCGGCACGGCCTTGGGCGGCGGAAGGGGCAGCGCGGCCCGGCAGCGGCGGCGGGGCGGAGCCGGGCGGCGGCGTGACGGCCGGAGCTCCGCGGCCCCGCCGGTGACACCCGAGAGCGGCTCTCGGGAGTCGCCCCCCTCCTGCCCCGGACCGCTCTCCCCGCGGGGTGACGGCCCAGTGGCCTCCCCGCCCCGCACGCCCCCGCTGCCCGCCGGCGAGGCTCCCTCCCCGGTGGCGGCGAGCCCAGCTCTCGCCGCCGCCGCCGCTTCCCTCCTCCCCTCGCCGGCGGAGGAAGGAGGCGGCCGCCGGCCCTCCCCGACCGCGCATGCGGCTGTGCCGGGCCGGGGCAGCGCTACCGCGCTCGGGGGCTGAGGTGTGGGTGTCCCTGTGCCCGGCCCCGTCCCCTGCTCCCCCGCGGGCCCCCGGCAGCGCCCCCGCAGATGGGCTTGGGCTGGAGCACCGCGGAGGAGCGGCGGCCCCTCCTGCCGCCGCCGCCGCCGCAGGCGCGGCCGCAGGCGCGGGGGCCGGCGGGGGGCCCG